AAAAAAAAACATCCTGAATTTGCTGAATCTGGGTGATGGGAAGCAGGTGAGGCCAAAAATAAACTTCTCTCAACTTCTAGCAATTTAATCCTAGAAAGCACTGAGGTGACAAAGCCATGTGTGACGATTGAATCTCAGAAGATTATCACAACAATTATCTTCTGGGAAGCTCAGAGATATGTGTGCATGCACTCATAATTTCCTTTCAACTCTCCTTTTCATGCATCCCTGTTTCTTAAATAAATACCGGACGCACACTCACACCTGACAGGAAACACCTGCATTTAATTTCACCAAGAGGCAGAGGTCTCCACACCCTTCCCCTCATTTTTTAAAATAAATATTGAACCGCTGTGCACTTTTTAGGTTCTTGTTCCTACTTTTAAAAGCTACAGCCATTACAGTTTAGCTGAATGCACTTTTGGTTCATAGTTCAAACAAAAGAGAGAAGGAAAAAAAGAAATAACCCAAAAAACTAATGAACCGGCAGAGAACAGTGAGTAGCATCTTACTAATGAGGGAGAAAAAGATACAACTGTACATACTATATTAGATACTGCAGTGTACAGTATATAAATAAAGAAAACCTGAAGGCCAGCTGTTAGTCAGGTTCAGTAACGTCTGAATATGACTACTTCCAGCAGAACGCTGCCACACAAAGTTACTCTTTTTACAAACTGGTGTCATAAATATAAAAAAATCTGCAGATTGGAAAGTGATCAAACCTCATAAAACTTCCTGTCCAGTAGAAAGATAAGACAACTTCCTCTTCTGATAAAATCACAGCTCTGCGAGGCTGTCCATTTCACACTGAACTGCAGAAGTTTGCAGGTATTAAGTTTATAATGGTAGTCTAAAGCAGCGGTCCCCAACCCCTGGGCCGCGAGAGTTGAGGTTCAGGTGTGAAATGTATAGTTTTCAGGGTTTTTATCGGTTTTCAGCGTTATTTTGTTAGCGTTTTTATCGTTAACTCGGTTTTCCTGGGTCTTTTCACGTGTGTTATGAATAAATCTTCTTTTTTCGGTACCGGTACTAGTTTTATTCTGTTGTATTTATCCGCGACACCTTAAAGACCGGTCCATGAAAATATTGTCGGGCATAAACCGGTCCGTGGCACAAAAAAGGTTGGGGACCGCTGGTCTAAAGCACTTTGAGTGGTCAGGAAGAGTAGGAAAGTAGTACATAAATACAAGTACATGAAACTGTTCAGACTCTAACGGTCGCACAGAGCCAGACAACCACCTGATGTCCACCAACAGAAGGCCGGTGGATCGATGCCCAGCTCCTCCAGGCCATGTGTTGGAAGTATCGGCGTGTAAGTTACTGAACGGAGTGTGAGTGTATGCAAATATTAGATAAAACGCTGTGTGTGACTGGGTGAATGACACTTAGTAGTAGTAGACTTCAGCAGTAAAACTCATTTACTTCATTTACAACACAATAGAACAAAGATTCGTGTCATATTTACTGGTTGTGTTGTTTGCAGAGAACCTTTACATCATAAACTAACCAGGACAGAAGTTGGGTTTAGAGTCTCCTCACCTTGCCCTTCAGAGCCCCTTCTGGGCCGATCAGGTTGTCAAAGATGTGTTTGGACACGTGGGCGTCCACCGCGGACAGCGGATCATCCAACAGATAGACATCAGCATCACTGTACAGAGCTCGAGCCAGGCTCACCCTCTGTCTCTG